TGAACAATACAATAATTTACTGAAATACGAGAGAATTAATTGTAGTGATCAACGTACGCCTATCAAACAGGTATTTTACGCGATTTATTTGACAAAGGCTACCTATACATTTCGAAGTTAATTCAGTTACATGTTCGTCATAGGTTAGATTACAGTCCATTGTAACCCCAGGGATTAGTTGACTGCTTAACAGACGAAGACTTTAGAAAGCAACTTAACTTTCTCCTTCCAGTCTGGGAAAAAAAGCATTCCAAGGGAAGACAATTTTATGAATACTTTGTTCGCCAGAAAGCCCCTCTTGTTCTGTCTTGCATGGAAGCCACGAATAGAATGATGGGAGGACTGGGATATCCCCCGGATGTCTACACACAAAATGGTAGTGAGCGTGCTAACTTTATAATCAAACATGTAAAAACCAAAAACAAGTTGGACATGGTCGAATGCCTCGAGATGATTCATAAAGTGGTTGCGCGGCAACAAACATTGGAATATCTCGCAATGTGCGGACAGGGAGAGTGGTTTCTTAATGAATCATATGCGGGCCAGAAAATAGATAAACCAACTTCTACCGAATGTCAGAACAACAGAGAAAACGACAAGTCATCATGTTCAGGTGACCTCGCCTCAGGTGATGTTATTTCTAGTAATGATTCGTGCGTAATCTCTGTAGCTCCAGAGGACACGCAGATCCTCTACATCCTATTCCATTTTCCAAGAGTTCACAAATCCTTAGCAATACAGCAAGCGACATTCATAAATTCGGGGAGTGTTTACTACATAGCCAGCAAGTCATCACCAGATAATCCACACAAAGTAATTCACAGGGAAGACGGAAAGTTTATCTGTGACACCTCCTGTGTGATCTGGGCTACTTACAAATTCTGTGCCCACACGTTGGCAGTAGCTGAAGTGTCCGAAGAGTCTCGCTTGTTTTTAAACAAAGTTGCCATGGAGGCCAAGCCTGATGCCATGTCACGTGCCTTATTAGACATGCTGAAAGGAAGAGGAAAAAAAAGCGGCAGACAGAGCAACAAGTAGGTGCAAAGGTGGCCCCATAAGGAAGAAAAGCCGTGTAGTTGAGACATTATGCCAACGGTGATAACAGCGACAACTTCAACATAAGACGACACACGCGAGTGTCCACAAACTCCTACTCCTTGTACTTCTTCCAAAAGAGCGGGGGTGGCAGCCAATCAGAGATCACTATTTCACTGTTTCAGCGGTCACATCTCACTCACTGCAACTAACATAACTAGACCGATGCTAGACCACTAACATCGACCAGTAGCCCATAACCTTGCATCAACTTATATCAAAGAAATATATCCGTTTTTGTACACCAGACGGTAAGCACATCGTTTGAGAGAAAGAAAAATAGATCGTTTGTATTGAAGAAGGAGGCTAGAGGAAGAAGAAGAAGGCTTCTCTCAAACACTACGCATAGATATGCTAGAAGGCTAAGCTAGAGGAAGAAGACATACGTACCGACGAAGAAGGCTTGTCTCAAAAACTACACATAGATGTGGTGAGTAAGGCTTATCTCAAAAACTACGCATAGATGTGGTAACCTCTTCGCTACCTCATTGTTGTGAGACTTGACATTTCTTCTTTGTTTCGGTTGGGGCTTTAGCATACATAAGTTATTATCTGTTTTTAGCGTAGGATGTTCAATGTTAAGTTGAGATGTAGGCTTTGATTTTGGCGATATGTATCCTTAAAGAGATCGATATACAATCGAGTTACCAGACTTTTGAATTTTGTTTTTGTTTGTGAGACTTGTTTTTTCTTTCTTGTAGACCAAGATGGATACTAGCATTTGTAGTCTGTCGTCGACATCCTGATCTAGAAGGTAAGCTTTCTACTTGCAAAGTTTCACGTTTTAACTGAGCAAATATTTGAATTGAGTCATGCATAGCATCCTACCTCTATACAGAAACCAAAAAAAGCCATATATGAACCAACATATTTTAAAAACGTTCAGATACTAATCAAAATGAGTTCATCAGTGATGACAAAGATTCATGTAATGGTCTACAAATCATGCATTTTTGGACAAACATGGGTCTGCATTTGTATTTTGTTTAAATTTGTTGCATTAGTTAAAAATGCTTGGACTGACACAGCCATATCATAAAAAACATAGCCCAGGAGAAGGTTGGGCAGCATCAGTCTCTTATCTTATCAAAGTTAAGAGTTAAGTTAATTTTTCGCAAGTGGCAAAATTACCTTTTAAACTCTGCTAGTTTCCATTAAAAGTCACAGCTTTCATGAAAGCTTGACGTCATTGATCATTGTCAACTGACCTCCCACTCTGGGGATAGATGTGTGTAGCTGTAAATTTTAGCATTCTTGATTAATAGAAGTTTGCCCATTTTCTCCTCCCAGCTGTTACGTTTGACTCGTTCTTCTAATTCCTTGCTACTCCTGCCTTCTCCGCCCAGTTTTTATTCAGTTTGCTTTGTGTTTAGTGTAATTAAGTTTTGGGGGAAAATTTTTGCAAACATCCAAATGATTGTTAAATTATCTCTCACAATGTACGATCATTTCTCTGAATTGCTTAACTGAATCATGCTTGTTTGAATATAAGCTTAGTTTCAAAGAACACTGATGTAACTGGTTGTTTAGGGTTGAATATAGCCTGTGTGGCAAGTGCAATAAGGGGAATAGTTTTAAACTTGAGCCTTTTTTTTTCTTTCTCAGCTTACAGTTATTTATTTTTATCTGCTTGGAGCCCCACCCAAAGTCTCGGTGTTAATGTGATAGTCTTAATATTATTTGGACCCCTTATTTAGACAGCCATGTTATTTATAATACATTATTTATCTGTCACTTTATAGGCTTCTTGTGAGCGAGGCAAGGGCAAATGTCCAAACCGTCTTTTCGGATATGCCAATCGGTATAAAGAGCCTAAGTGTACCAATTGTGGATTTTATTTGGGAGGCACTTTTATTCCCAAACATCCCAAGAAACCCAAAATGGACATACCATTATGCACTTCAGTGACTGTTGGTCCATGGAGCTTCTACTTGTGCAAGACCAGTAACCATGATGACAGATGTCTCATCATCAAGGACTGTAGATATGATTCTCCAAGCACTATCTGCTTACACCACAGGTGCAAACAAGACCGTGCGGTAAGGGTGAACAGCAGTTCTTCATCTCTATTCACATGTCAGCATGTGAAGACCATTGAATCTGCTGTTCAACCAGAAAAACGGTACTTTGATTTTCCTGACTTGCAGTGATACCAGTGTGGTGACACAATGAGGAGTGATTTGTTGAGACTCAGGGAGTTATCAGGAAATCTACCATTAGCTGTGAAAGTTTCTCCTTTAATGTTCTGTCTTTGGACATGTCTCATCAAATAATCCTGCCGGGTATTGCCATGTGAAGGTGCAGGAAGATGCCCTCAGATGTTGTTCTAAGGACTGCAAAACATTTGTTACAAAGGCAAAACAAAACAAAGCCAAAAATATATACATACACGTTCATGTATTAATTAGCCTTGGGATCATATCTAATGAGACTTTTGAGAAGACTTTTGGAATCCACGTCATCAGCAACAGAATCAGGATCTGGTTCTGCATCGATGGAATCCACGTCATCATCAACAGAATCAGGACCAATCAGTACAAATAGCACTGATAATTCTTTGGATACTGTCAGCCGTTTATCAACTGTTCCACTGAACATGAAGAGATCCCTGCCCCTACAAATACCCAGTGCTGTCATTGGCCAGGCACATTCCATGGATATCAAGGGATGGCCTCCATCACTTTCACCCTCTTGCTTTACTTGCGGTTTGTGGAGTAGTCCATTGTCTGAACCAAAGAGTCTTCCAGGCCAAAGAGGAGATGCCATACTTTTGACTAGTTTAATTCCTTTTAGGAAAATTAAATTGTTTGTGAAGTTTTGCTAAAGTAAAACTTGCCAAGCAATGCATCAAGTTTACCCCTATGATTTAGGTAAGGTATGTTTATTGAACTTAACTTTGTTTCTGCATATTCCACAACATAAATACAGTGTACTCCTTTTAACCAAATTTGTTGGTTTGTTTACTAGTTCACTTTTGTGTATTTTTTTTACTTGGCAATCGGCCAGCATGTATTTCACCTAAAGGAAAACTTGTATTTCGTTCATATTAATTTGAATTTAAGTTTATATTTATGTTTGTTTGTGGGTGATGTTCATATGCTGTCAAATTTATAATGTTGACATCTGCTTCATGGTGTCTGTCTAATAAACAAATAAAGTAAAAACTCACATATAAGAACCTAGAATTTTCGAGGTCATGCTGAACAGGTTCTTATATTTTGGGGTAGTTTTTCACAATTCATAGTTATTAGGTTCTTAAAAGTTTTTTATTTTTCGGAGGTTGTCATAGTGTAACCATTGGCTGAAATATTGTACTTCAAATACATATGTGCAAATAATCATGGTCCAAGAAGATCATCCATACATTTCTATATTTTTGAAATAAGATATAAGAATTTGAATCGTCTATATTGCACAGTAACTCTATGGGAAAGATACTTCTAGTGAAAATTCAACAAAATAATAAATAAATCAAAGAAAACATATACACAATAACTTTTTGGCAAAAGTTTGTCAGACAATTCAAATCGAGAATTTTACCATCGAAACTGGAGTGATTTTTTTGTGTAAGGAACTTTTTTCGTTGCCAGGCTGAAGAGCTTCTTATAATTGGGTATTTCAATGCCAAATTTCAGCCTGTGGGTTCTTAAATCAGTATGGGTTCTTATATGCGGGATTTTACTTTTAATTACTTGTTAAGTGGGCTAAGATGTAAGTCTAAAATAGTTTTATTTATCAGGCTTATTGAAACTCAGGGTACATGTAATTTTGACTACATACTTGACTTCTCTGCAAGTGGCCTTGGGCAGATTCCTCCAAACACTTCTTGCACAGAAAGGCCTCAGCAGTTGCATAAACCAACCCAACGAACCTCAAACGTTCCAGTTCTTTTCAAAGATATACTG